TATATAGTTATGAAATTTGTGGTTATATAGTTATGAATTTCTGGATATATAAAAATGCTATTGCCGGGAATCGAACCTGATTTATTCTTTAAGTGAGACGCGCGTTTTTTAACCAAAACGGCGCCGTTTTGCAACCGTATGCACCTTGCAAGGTGCATTCGGTTGCACAGCATAATTTGCGCATTATTTGAATGTGGTTTTAAATCAGAAGGATTGGAGTCCAACCCAAATGATTGCTGAAGCCCAGCTAGCTTACTGCGATCCATTTTCACAGTTCATCTTCTTCCCAAGGAATCCCCATCAAAAGCAATATATATATATATATATGTTTGGACTATTCTTAAAGAGCTTTAAATTGCATGGAACGTTGGATGACATTTTGTTATAACCCACTATTGATGCCAATTGCTTAATTGGGCCTTTTGCAACCTATCCACAATCAATTATTATTGTGTGGACCATGGTCCGTACAAGTTGTATGGACCATATTTTGTATACTATAAAATAATGTATATTCAGTACAAAAATAATGTACATTCAATTCAAAAATAATGTACATTGTATTCAGGGGATATACATTATTTTTGTACTGAGTGTATATTATATTGTATAATATATATACAATACACAAATAATGTACATTTAATTTATTAAAAATGTACTTTTTTGTTATGGTTCACATAATATTGTGTGGACCATGGTCCATACAATAATTTGCTATCCACAATATGATGGATTGAGTTCTCATTATTTGAAGAATATGAAATCATAGTACTGTGACGTGTGATGTGGATATCATGCTCAAGTGTAAATTGTATGAATAATGTATGAAAACAATTTTATTGTCTCACAAATTTTCCTTCCAAAAACCATATAAAAATTTTGAAAAATGATTTTCTACAATGGAACTAATAAAAAAAAGAGTTAATTCATCAGAGATCCCTTATTTTTGGTGGCAATTCCAAATTTAGTCCAACACTATTATTTTTGTCATTTAACATCCCAAACTATTGTTTTTTTTAGACACTTTTGGTCCTTCTCATGACTTTTCCTATTTTTAGTAAGCGCATTTTTGTCTCTTCATATTTTTCTTTTGTTATTTTTTCAGTTTCAACAGGTTTAATTAGTTTAGGACTTTACTAAAAATCGATTGAAAAATATGGTTACTAAAAATCAGAGGTTACCTAAAGTCCTAAACCAATTAAACCGGTTAAAATTAGAAAAATAACAAAAGAAAAATATGAAAAGACAAAAATGACCTTACTAAATATAGGCAAAGTAATGAGAAGGACTAAAAGTATCCAAAAAATAATAGTCAGGGATGTTAAATGACAAATATGATAGTCTGTGACTAAATTTGAAATTGCCACCAAAGACAAAGGACCTACGGTGGAATTAACTCATAAAAAAATTAATATTTGAGCATATTTTTAAAAGAGTTGATTTTAGTTTTTGCCCTAAATTTATATGTGACATTCTAATTTTAGTTTTTTTTTTCTTCAGAATATTATCTGTTAGCAATATTATTATTTGTCACTTTAATATTTCTGTTATGTTCACTAGTCTTTACAGTAGGCCTAGTCTTGTGTTGGTTTCCTAGTTGATAGGAGTTGTTAGACTGTTAGTATTGTAATCTCTGTCTTAATTGTTTGTTGAATGAAATTCAAATTATCTCATCTGGTATCAGTTAGACCAGGAATCCTTTTTTTCCACTCTCCACGTAAACAATCCGATCGCCTCTCTCTCCCCGTAAACAATCCGATCGCCTCTCTGTCTCCGTAAACAATCCGGCCGATCGACGCCATGTCTTCCAATTCCTCTGAGCGTACCATCTCTGCCGGTGGCACTCCCTCTCCGGCCACTAACCAAAATACCCTCTCCGGTGCCCACCATTTCGTATCGATAAAACTTACATACCGTAACTATCTTTTCTGGAGAACTCAATTAGTTCCCTTCTTGCGTGGTCAGGACCTCATGGGGTATGTGGATTGCGAGTTTCCATGTCCACCACCAATGATTGATGCCGCTCCGGTAACAGGCGAATCCACGACATCCACCTCCACTCCGGCTCCTAATCCAGTTTATAAAGCCTGGATCAAACAGGACCAGACGTTGCTATCTCTTCTCATCTCATCCCTCTCGGATGAGGTGATGCATCTTGCGTTTGGAAAATCCACCTCTAAAGATGTTTGGGAATCTATTAGCGCGGGACTCGGCAGTTCAACCCGTGCACGAACTCTTGGCCTACTCGGTCAGTTTCATGGTCTGCGATAGGGAGGCAGCAGCACATCCGATTATCTTGGGCGTGTGCAATTGTTGGTGGAGGATCTCGCGCAGGCTGGCAGACCAATCTCACTCGACGAACAGAATATGTTCGTCTTCCGGGGGTTGCGCTCGGAATACCGGGCGATGGCTTCTTCGTTGACGGTAGCCGGGAACGCGGTCACCATTCCACAAATTGCGGACTTCCTCCGCGCTCAGGAGTTTATTCATGCGGACGACTACCCGGCATCTGGTGATCATGCAACTCCAACGGCGTTCTATGCTGGCAGAGGTGGTAACGGAGGCCGGAATGACCGGAATCAAGTCTTACAGTTGTGTCCAGTCACACCAAATAAAATCTCGCCGGGCGGGTTGTGCACCTCGTGTCAGCTTGGAAAATCGTCTAGATTTTCATTAAATAGAGTTCCTTTATCAAGTAGCAATGTGCTAGATTTAATTTATACGGACATATGGGGTCTGTCACCTGTAATCTCTACTAGTGGATTTCGTTACATTCTGCTTTTTGTAGATGATTATTCTCGCTTTTGTTGGTTTTATCCCTTACGGGTAAAATCTGATATATATAAAAATTTCGAGTCGTTTCGAGTCATGGTAGAACGCCAATTTTCGCGTTCTATCAAAAAAAATGCTTTCGTATTTAACGTCATTTAAATATGTTTATTGACGGATGATCAAATATGATCATGTCATAATAATATTATTACTAACATGAAATGTTTAGAAAAGAATAATAAAAAGTGAAACGACAGTTATAAATTTATAAATATATATATATATAGAACAAAAAAATATAATTAACTCTTTTGAAAAAATAATTTAAAGACACACTTATACACGATTTTTATATTTGTACGCTTTCTTTTACTGAAATTGCATTTGTGCGCAGGAGTGCAAATATGATAGCCCATGTTCTAGCTAAGGAATCTTTGTGTAATCCAGATATGGGAATCGTTGAATTTTCTGATTGTATTCCGCGTTTTATTTCTCCGGTTGTGTACTCAGACTTTTTGGGTATAAAAAAAAAATATTTGTATGCTTTCCTGTTTTATTTCATTGTTTTTTTTTTTTTTTTGTCAAATCACGAGATGTTCTAAGCATGTCTTAACTCATTATTTTCTTTTATTAGGAAAAGATAATAATGCTCTTGATTTTGACAATAGTATGATAAATCAATTAACAAAGCACGATTCTTCCAATAATACTCTGTCGGATTGAAGTGTGGAGGTCCTTGAGGTTGGGAATTCAAATTTTTGGGGGAAGAATTAACAAAGCACGAAATTTGATAATTAAAATAAAATATTGGGTGGAAGTTTTCAAATTGATGACCCAAGTGATTAAAAGCACAGCAGTCAAGAGACTTTGGCTGATATAACTCCTTTATACACACTTTTTTTTTTTTAATTAATAACATTGTACATTTAATGTTCTCTAGTAAAAAAATGTCATTTATGTTTTCTTGAAATATGTCCCAAAATGTTATTCCGGGCATGGCAAGAAGAGTACAATTTACTGCTCCAATTAAATTTATAAAATTTTCTAGTACATTTAGAGGATCTATATTATTTCCTTTTAAATAATTTAATCACCAGTGTCATTAAATATTATTAAAATAAACATACATTTTTATTGTTGTCTATGACACATGACTATTATAACAGTCAAATCGAATAAAATTTGAAATTCAAATATGAATAATTATACTAAAGTACAAAGAGACGATATGTCCCGGCCCACTGGGGTTCAAACCTATGACATTTTATTTGGAAGAGTCACAACTATTCTGCTTGATCATAAGGCCTTTAGTATGATTTAGTAGTTAATAATTATGAGAGATAAGTGTCAAATAAACTCTCCAACTGTATACCAAAGTTTAATTAGAACCTCGAACTAAAAAAAAAAAATAAAATTTTCAATTAAACTCTTAAACTTGTTAAATTTTTAAAATTAACCTATTTAACAAGTTACCCAAAGGTAACAAATCAACTTTACTTACATGATATCTTATGTGGAATCTCCTACTTATAAATTAAAAAAATTATATATCTTTAACTAATTTTTTAAAATATCTTTAACTAATTTTTTAAAATATCTTTAACAAAGTTGTCAGTTGCCATAGACAACTGCTAAGCAAATTATTGTGTGGACCATAACAAAAATTACATTTTTAATATACTAAATTTTACATTATTTTTGTACTGAATGTACATTATTTTTGTATTGAATGTACATTATTTTATAATATACTGATCCACACAATAATAATTGTGACTGCTAGGTCGCTTGGCTGCCATGGCAGGCTTATTTGTCCATGACGGAGAAGCCCGCCAAGGTTCTTCATCCATGGCATCGATCCAAGATGCCATGGTAGCTTGCCTGTCATGGTTTTTTTTTTGTTTTTTTTTTAAATTTACATTTTTTATATAAATAAATATTATTATTTTAATTTTTTAAAAGTATATTTTTTAAAAAAAGTTAATCTAACTGGCATGTTATGTAACATCTTGTGTAACAGATGACTTAAAAGTAACATGCTATTATAGGTTAAATAGGTTAACTGTACAAATTTAACAAGTTTAAGAATCTAATTGAAAGTTTTTTAGTTTAAGTGTGATTGCACTCTAGTATATAGTTCAAGGGTCTATTTGACCCATATCCATAATAATAATAATAATAATAATAATAATAATAATAATAATAATAATAATAATAAAACAAACTAAAACCATTGCAAATTTTCATTAAACTAGCATAAGTTTATTAACAAAAGAGCAGGCAGGCAAAAGCAGCAAAATAAACATTAACATAAAGGCGAAGAAAGATCAAAGAGATGATAACAATGGCGGATGGAGCTAAGCTTCAGCTATATTCACTCCCAAATCCCGACCTCCATGAAACCATCTTCAGTAGCGCAGCCCCTAAACATTCCATTACAGTTGAAGCCATACGCCACCTCCCCCGTATTCGACACCGCGATCAGCCCGGCGAAGCCCTTGTCCAGCCGCTTCTTCACCACAAAGTCCACCGCCTCCTGGAGGCCCAGCCCCTTGTACTCCATCACCGCCGCCACGTCCCGCGCCAGCGTGCCGCGGATTATGGCCTCGCCTTCCCCCGTGCACGACACCCCGCAGAGATCGCACGCGTACGTCCCGGCGCCGATCAGCGGCGAGTCCCCGATCCGCCCGGTCATCTTGTTCATTAGCCCCCCTGTGGAGGTCGCCGCCGCGCACCGCCCTTGCCCGTCCACCACCACGCACCCCACCGTCTCCGGCGCGTACACGCTTATCGGTAAACCGTTCATCACTATTGGGCTCTCCATTGCTCCGCCGCAGGTTGTCTCCAATGGGATTCTATAGTCGAACTGTACGACCAAAACAATATTAAATATTAAAAATACTCAAATACTTCAATTATCTCAAGATTCAATGTATCAAATTAATCTATGTGCAGATAGAGGTATGGGTATAGGTATGGGTATGGGTATATATATATATATATATATATATATATATATATATATATATATATATATATAGTCATGCCGAGCTGATTGGGTTAACTTGACAGAAATAGACAACTTAACTTGGCTAAGTTAGACGCTAGGCGACCAAATAAACCGAGTTAGGTGCTCTAAGCGGACGTCTAGGGAGAAATCACCACAGTCTAGGCGCACCTAGTACGTAGGCGCACCTAGTACGGGCGTCTAGGGAAATCACCACGGTCTAGGGGCACCTAGCGCGGGCGTCTAGAGAAATCACCACAATCTAGGGGCACCTAGCGCGGGCGTCTAGGGGAAATCACCACAATCTAGAGGCACCTAGCGCGGGCGTCTAGGGGGAAATCACCACAATCTAGGGGCACCTAGCGCGGGCGTCTAGGGGGAAATCACCACAGTCTACGGGCACCTGGCGGGGGCATCTGGGAAGAAATCACCATGGTCTAAGGATACCTAGCGTTAAGATCTAGCCTAGGCAGGAGCCTAGACCGATTTTTGCAACAATGTTAAAAACATTAAAAATTCTTGTAATATTTTAATAAAAAGATAGTGTTGAGAGAGTATACAAGGATTGTGTTGGCTTCTTTAGCCAATTTGAGCATTCCAACATTGTCCTCAGTGATGAAGTATGAATTGTCCACCAATTCCACTCCCTAGACAAAAGACAATAAGGGTGAAAATGGAACTTAATTTGTAAAGAAAATATAATATAAAGGGAATGAATTAATTTAATAAATAATTAAATTCACTTAAAAGATCTTCTATTGATAAACATCCTGATATGTACACGTGAAATCTTGAATCTATGACCTCAAAAAAAGTCAATCTGTAGCCTGAAGTCCTGCTGATTTATCTCAACAATTTTATTTTTTTTAATATAATTATTAATTGTATAAAAAATCTTTCAAATTTATTGCAGTACTTATTAATTACTAAAATTAAATGAACCTGTTTTTTAGCAAATTCTTCGGCACCAGAGAAGGCCAGGTAAGAGTGGGGTGACTTGTCCATGACGAGGCGAGCCAGCGAGATGGGATTTTTCACGGTGGTGACGCCGGAAACGGCGCCGCACCGGCGACCTTCTCCGTCCATGATGCTGGCTTCCATCTCCACCGTACCATTCTCAGTCAGCGCAGATCCACGGCCGGAGTTGAAGAATGGGTCAGTCTCCAGTTCTCTCACCTACAAAACCATAAAACACATTTTACTTTTCTTTTTTTTAACCATAAAAATTTATTATATGGTTGGGAGAATGGGAGTTAATGCCTTGATCCTTAACGTCCAGATTGCATGCAAAAATAATAATTATTATTATTATTATTTACTTTACAACCACCACCAAACTCTTCATGCAGATGAAACAAAAGTTTTTTTTCCCTTTTTTATATTATTACTTGCCCATGGCCCCACACTTCTTGTGTTTTACAGATCACAGTGATTCAGAGGCTTCTCAAGCTCCCCAAATCCTGTATCCGAGGTCTACTATTATGTTTGTAATTCACCTGGAATTAATTAAACTAGTTGTGCATTATGCATTAAATGATTTTTTTTCATAATATATTTAGAATAATTATTAAATATTTCCAGGAACAGAAACCCGACAAAAGGGGAAAGGTTGTGTTTGGTTCACACATAAGAATAAAAATTGGAATTGGTATCAAATACTTGATAATGATAATGTGTTTTGATGAACGTATTTTGTATATTTAGTAGTATGGTGGAATGAGAATGATTAGACTCAGGATGAATAATGGGATGAAACCATAGACTAAGGATGAATAATGGAATGAAACCATATAAAATAAGGGCATGAATTTTTTCATTAATGGGATATTTCAAATCCATATTAGTGTTTTAAAAATCAGTCAACCAAACAATAACACCTAAGGCTAAACCTGTCAACCAAACACACATGAATCAAATCAAAGTAATGTAAAAAATAAATCCGAAAAAACAGGGCGGCGGAGGGAAAGGCGGGGAATGGTGATCGGAAAAGAGGGAGATAGAGAGAGAGAGAGAGAGAAACGTACGACGAGTTCGACGACGTCGATGGCGGGGAGAGAGCCGCGGAGGGCGGCGATGCCAAGATTGAGGCAGCGAGTGAGGAGTTGTTTGGCCGCTTCTTGGCGTTCGAGTGGGAGGTTAGGATCAACGCCAGCGCCGCCGTGCACCGCTATAGCCCAACCGCCCATCTTTCTCTTCTCTCTGAATCTCTCCGCCGTGACGCTAATGCTTTCTATGCGCTGCTTGTTTCGTCATCGCCTCAGGCCCGCCCTAAATATAGACCCCGGCTCCCGAAGGTGGCGGGTTGTAAATATTTGGAATAACCAAGGCTATTTTAGGAATTTCACGTTTAATCCCCCCTGTACCAACCACGCGCTTCATTAAAACCGTTCATCTGACGCATCTCCACCTGTCGCGGGTATTGTGCACGTGTGATTTCACTGGTGATGCAAATGCCACGTTTGAATTTCTCAATCTTGTAATTCATATTTATCTGGGAATAGTGTTTTTTTCCGTTAAAGAAATATTTGGTAATTCCTTCCAAAATTTAAACTTGTTTCTTAATAATAGAGCAAATATATCTGAAAATGTTTTTTTTTTTTTTGGTACTACTTACTCTATGTAGTCTACCCATATATAATTTCAATCAACAATGACATAAATACTATCATCATACCCGTGCCCGACAAAACAAAGAGACTACTATTATTTTTAATCAATGCTCTAAAATTTGAATGTAAAAAAAAAAAAAAAAAAAAAGACTAATTCAAAATTTTTTTGTTTATTATCCTATATTCCCATCTAAGAAATTGTATACTTATCTAAGAACTTGTATACTTATTTGATCCAATGTTCGTCTCTAGAAAAAAATATCTTTAAATATTATGATAACGAATAAAAAATATGAAATGTCCCTATGACATTAGTTTAATAAATAAAAAATCTTAGTTAAGACTAGCTTCCAACCGAAGGATGGGAATTCAATAGACTCCTAATATATACATGTTCCCTAAGTTTTGTTCTTATATTTTAAAGTATTGTGGTTTCCTATTTCCCATTTTTGCTTCCCATTTCCATACTACATATGCAAAATTCATTAAAATTACATAATATCTGTCCAAATTGAAATAACTTACAAATCATTATTTTTGGGTGTACTTAGAATTTTCACTGTCAGACATAATGACTAATCCCTTGTTGGATTATAGGTACCTCTTTTCTTTTGAATGGGACAGTAGGCGATTTAAGGTTGCTCTATATCCAAAGTCAATGATCAAACTCTCGACCTTTGGTTAAGGATGGATGAGTCTCTTCCACTCAACCACAGCCCCCAGGTTCTTACAAATCATTATTTACTAGGGATGGCAACGGGACGGGACGGAGACGATGAGTATACTCCCCGTTCCCGTCCCCGCGGAGATTTTGGCGGGAACGGGGAATCCCCATCCCTGTCAATGTGAAACTTATTTTACGAAAATGTGAAACTGGTACAATTTAAAAAAAAAAAAATGAAAATCCGTAAGTCATAATAAGCTTATTTTAAAAAACTATAATCCTAATCCTAGTATCTAATCTAATAAAACTAATAATCTAATTCCTAATCCTAATCCTAATATTTAACATAGTATATATAATCTAATTCCAAATATCTAACATAGTATATATAATCTAATTCCAAATATCTAACACAGTATATATAATCTAATTCCTAATCCTAATATCTAACAGAATGTGTGTGTGTATATATATATATATTAAATTTTCGGGGACGGGACGGGACGGGGCGGGGAGAAGTATCTCCGTCCCTGCCAGAGAATTTCACAAATTCTCCATTTTCCGATCCCCAATATTTTTTCCCGTCACCGTCTCCGATCCCCAATATTTTTCTCCGTTTCCTTCCCCATCCCCTACAGAGACGGGACACATTACCATCCCTATTATTTACAATGAATCTAAACCCTCCATTTCTTATATACGATACTCATATCTTCACCATTCATACGTCCTTCAACTTTCGTACTACATACATGATACAACCCTATCTTTATTATAGTTCGAATCAGTCATCGAATTTGCCTTGCATCATGAAAATCTAGTCCATACAAAATAATAGCAGATTCATATATAAGTATATAACCAATTACATGATTGACTTAATCAATGTTAGTACATATATACGTACAAACATATAAACAAACCATAGCCATAGAATGAAAAAGGGGCTTTAACAAAATTGTTTGATATATAAAACCTCCTCCTCTTTGTCAAAAAACGAAATTGTTTTATGGTAGGGAAGGTGCGTGCATCTTATGTAGATTCCAGATCCAGTGCTGGGACCAAACAAGATTCCATTACAATGTTACATTAAAATACATCCACCTCACAAAATCTCAGAATTCTGGAGTGTATGTATATAATATGTATGTATCCAACTTCTTTGCACAATGTTTTCTTAATCGATTTTGTCCGCTGCTATACATTTTCTTATTCCGAAAACGACATAATCTTTTGTACCTTATTATCCTCGCAATTGTTATACCGTGAACCATTTCCTTTTTTAATACAGGAGGTTTTTGAATTTACGCTAGACATATTATCAATTGTTTAGGTTTTGAGTCTCTTGGTGACTTCCTATGTCTTCACTCTTCGGTCAGAATTGAACCCTCATACTGTCGTTGAATAATATATTCAAGGTAATTCTTGAACAATTGAGTTAAGCTCTACAAGAAAACCATGATTTATATATAGTAATATACACCATCAACATACGATTTTTTTTCTCTTTTAGTATTACCAATGTCTTTGTAGTGTAGTGTACTATTTATTTTTTAAAGGTTCATTTTAATATATTACTTAAAAATGAATTTTTTAAGTACACTCAAAATGAATCTTGAATGTATACCCAAAAAAATGAATCTTGAATATTTAACCGTGGCTCAATTCACGATGTGTATCATAATTCACGTATAATTTATTTTTATCTTCAATAAAGTAAAATAGATACTTTTTATTTTTTTAAAATGATGACTCAATTCCCAATGAGTCTTAGGCCAGCAATTGAAACAAAATTCAACCACCCCCCCCCACCCCGGGGGGACAGATGAGGTGATGGCAATTTAAAAACATCCCTATTTTGTCTTAATGTTATTATGTTAGGGTTATTTTTGGTCATTTGCCAATAAAATCGTTTATATAATATTAAATATAAGGGCATTTTAATCAGATCAACGGGATGTTTTTAAAAGAAAAGAAGATTAAAAGCGGAATGACACATATAAATATAAGATCAAAAAAGAAAAAGACGTAACACTTAAAACTAAATAGATCAAAATGTCCTTGTATTTAACGTTATTTAAACAATTTTGTTGATAGATGACAAAAAATGATCATGTCAAAATAATATTAGGACCAAATAAGAATATTTTGAAAGAGAAAGATTAAAATGAATTGACACCTATATATAAATCTATGACAAAAATGAAATTAACTATTGATTTGTATATTAATCAATTAATGAGTAAATTTTTAACAATGAAAATTCAATGGATGATGTCTTCTAAGTATGAAGATGTTGAGTATAACATATACGGAGTATAAAATATTAAATGTGTAGTTTTACAATTATTAGTTTAAAATTTTAATTGGTTGGAAAAATTATTCTTTACATTTTTTTTTTACATGAGTTCAAAACGTATTCGTTAATGATGATAACGATGATAGCGAAAGTCATTCCTTACAAATTTAGATATCATTGGAAAAGTCAAAAGTAGTTAAGCAAACAACAATAATAATTCAAATTTCATTTCTATATGTGTAGAAACCCTAATGGCCCTGTTTGGTTGGGCGTAATTTGGTTGTAGTTGAATTGCAATTCAGTGAAAGCCACAATTACGCCGTTTGGTTGGAGGGAATTGCAATTTCACAGAATTGCAATTCCTTCCTTTTGCTGAATTGTAATTTATGGGCACCCCCTATGAATTGTAATTCGGTGGTTGTTGGAAAGGATGAAATGACAAAAGTACCATTAATTATTACTACTATTATTATTACACAAGGACATTTTAGTCTTTATATCACTTCTTTCATTCCCTATCCAATAATTCTATTAATCACTATCAAACAATGTAATTTGAATTCCTACTTTACTCACACCTTATTCTTTTCCCATCGAATAGCAATTCCTTTCCACCCTAATTCATTACTCCCAACCAAACGCCCTGTAAATGACTAAACCCTTGTGTTTCACCTTAATCGCTCTCTCTTGTCACATATAGTAGATTTAAAGTCTTAATTAAAACTAATAAAATTAAAAAGTAGAATAACGTACAAAATGGACTCAAATATAAATAAGAATACAAAAAGATTTTGAGGTATTTCATAAATAGATGTTAGCGGATAGCATTTAGTTGATTTGGTTAGTATGTTTGTCTAGTTGATAATATTAGCTGATTATGGAGAGATGTTTGGTAAATTAGCTGATAGTTGACTACATATAAAATGAATTTCTCAATTAGCTGATCGAAGTTTTTTGAATTTTTGTATTTTTGAGCAATAAACTGTTACACAAAATTAATTAATCAAACACTCATATTGATTGTTTAATCAAGTTAAACAATTAATAGTGGTTAAAGAAGTCAAAATTAACTAATAGGCTAATTGTTTTACCAGATAGGACCATTAGATAATTTAATTTGACAAAATAATATATTATAGATTTGAGGCACACTACCACAAACGTAGGTAGCATAAAGAAGTTTTTTTTTTGAAACAGCATAAAGAAGTTGAAAGAAATAAAGAAGGAAATGAGAGGCAGACAAGGCGTCACGGGTCAGGACTCCGTCTATATATATATCCGCCGTCGTTGCTAGGCGGCTAGTGGCGGTGCTACCTGCGGGAATCCGCCGTCTATTAATAAAAATGAATAAATTAATAAGTGATATTGTATTCTTAGGTGAAAAAAATATTATTATACTAATATGTTTTAACTTTAGTTTTTCAATTTCATCAAACTATATTCCAAAATTCATAAACCGAGCATGAGGCCAGTCCATCTACAGTTTGAACTTCCACCATGTCGTTGAAAGCGAGTTTTTAACTGTAGCTACTCATCTACTAGACTACTGCCATAACGCCGGGTTACGCTAATCTTTTAGAGAGAGAGAGAGAGATGTGTGATTTTGATTCATAGGTTTTATTATTGACCCCACGATTATTGGATCATTTCTATATTTGGTCTTCGATTATTAATTTTTCTACATT